TTGTTTTGTTTTTTTTGTTTGTTTTTTTGTTGTGGTTTTTGTGGGGGGGGGGGTTGTTAGCTAGAGTGTGGTTTTGGGGGGAGGGGGGGAGGTACATTTTGGCATGTTTTTGAGGCGGTGTTTAGAGGTTGGTGATGTTTTTGTTTTCGCGAGTTGTTTTTGTTCTGGTGGTGGGGTTATTTGGTTGAGGTATGATATCTGGCGAAGGCGAAAGGTTTTGAGTTGGGTTGACGTGTGTTGCGCGAGGCTTGGCGGGGATTGATTAGTCAGTTCATAAAATGGAACTCAGTTGTTTGTAAAACATGGCTTCTTCTTTGTTGCACTTTCTATGATAATATTATGATCGGTAAAGGTCTCAAATGCCACACAGTTTATGTAAATTATCCCTCAAATGCCACAGTACCCTCAGATGCCACAGGAATTTGATTATGTAAGGGTTTTTTTGTATGCAAAATTTTTTTATTGCTATTATAGTACTTTGCAAAACTGACAAAGTAAAAGAAAACAAGAGAATATAAATAAAAAAGGAATGTGAAAGAAAGAAAGCGAATTCCAAGAATGAAATCAGGATGAATTAAGACTATAAAGTTTAAACCAGTAAATAGTTGTTAATAATTAGCTGTAAAGTTATAACCAAGTAGCAGAATTACTTATAATATATCTAATCTTATTCTGCTATATATTTAGCATTTTGCCCTAAGAATGCCAGTAATTTGCAATTAACTACCAGTGACGTTGCTACTCATAGACTTTAAGAACTCTAGTGTGCTTGTTTCTTGTCTCATAGTATGGCCTTCTTGTAATTAGGTGCTCAACACTGTATACAATTAATATAATTGTAGGGACAGGATCTTGTTTACATTTTTTTTCTTGCTGTTGTTTTTTAGATATCTCTTATTTTCCTTTATATTTGCTTCAGATTTTCATGTTTTATTTTATAAATTTTATAAAAGTATTATAACAATCAGAGCATGTATAAGTTAAAACCTGATTATTGAGCTTTTGTGAAAAGTGTAGGAAACTGCATGACAACGATGGTTACCCTAAGAACAAAGTTTTAAGATACAGCTAGTTTTATCTTCACAGTAACTTTATAGAAAAACTGCACATTCAAAAAAAACTTTAATATTTTTCTGTAACTATTAAAATTCTCTCTAGACTAACTCATTTATATTTATAAATTCAAATTTATCAATAAGGTTAACTACATTGTTTTACATGATTTTGTATTCATTGAACCAAGTGGATGACCATGTCTTTTAGACAAATTACCTAGTATCTCTACCCCTTCTGCTGTAGAAGCTTGTATTCCAACATACTCATTATCTTCTACACTCTTTTCAGACCTTGGTAGAGTTTTAAGTCCTGTTGTATTAGTTGTAGTTTGAATATTCTTCTGAATATTTGAAGTTCTAGAGTTATTTTTTGTACTAGCTTGTTTAGTTCTCCCAGTCTTTACAGACTGGGCTTCTTCAATTATTGTAGATGATAGCATAGTATAAAGCCAGGCAGATCTAACATGTTCAGGGGCATATAAGCCATACTTACTCTACATGTCATATTGATTTTCTGGCTTTAACTCCAATGATAATATTAGTTTTAGAAATATCATACTTGTCACAAACCAGATTGTGACAAGGCAGATTGAAGAGGTAGAACAAAGATTTTTACATAACTCACACTTGCAAGTCATTGGAGTTTTATTGGTTATACGATGACTTACAGTTGTGAGTCATATGATGTCATGACTTTCATGCGTGACTTATACTTATGAGTCACAAGTTTCATGCATGTGATGTACTTAGCACACATGGCATATTATGAGAATTATGATTAGTTTAGGCATGTTGCGTAGTTGACTCATATGAGTCAACTGAGGATCTCACATGACTCACAATTGTGAGTCATAAGGTATGGTGATGTAAAGGTAAGAGTTGTAAAGAGTGTCACGAACGTGATTGGGCACAGAAAAAGTTTTCACATGACTCATGATTATGAGTCATAGGTATATTATTGTTTCACACATATGAGTCATTTAGGTCATATGATTTATTATGTTATGATTTGTTATATTTCGCACATGACTCAATTATAAGTCATGGGATGTGCACCTAGCAGGTGTGCCTTGCGAGTATACCTTACAGGTATGCCTTGCGCATATAATTTATGTTTTGTACATGACCTTGTTATGAGGTCATGGGTTTTACACATGTGACCACTTGGGGTCATATGACTTGTTTATTACGTTATGATTGGTTTATAAGTTTTTGCACATGACCTCGCTACAAGGTCATAGGTTTTAGACATGTGACCACTGTGGTCACATGATTAGTTTGTTAGGATTTACTTTCGCGCATGTGACTACTTTAGGTCACATAAACTTAGGGCAGGAAGAGTACTATATAAGGAGACCAGTATGGCCGAGCAGGATAGTCTCTTTACGCTTTGTTCTAAGTACTTTTCCTCGTCCTTGTCATCGCTTCGCCCTGAGTGTTTCATTTGCACCCACAATGGGCCTTGATGCCTTGGATTCTGGGGGAGATATCTGAGTTTGCTTAGTAGTTCCTGGGGTTCTTAGTATTGAGGTCTGTTGGCGTTATGTGGCGGATCACTTGTTTGCTTCTCATTTCGTTGCCAGATAGTTTCTCACGATGCTGTCACTTCAAGCACTTTATCATGGTCGCTTATAAGCCCCTTTCGGTAAAATGTCTTCAGCTTTCTGTCTATCGTCTACTTGCAGGTTTTACATTTGATTGAGGGGAATGGAACATTGGGTTTGGAGGGATCACCCGTGTCATTCTTTGGGCCAGCTCATTGTTGTTGGGTTTTGTTAGGCGGAGACAACTTGATAGACTTCAAGATTGTCTAAGCCAATCAAGATTCGTTTTTGTAGACGGAGATTGTCTAGGAAGGCTCGGACTTGGCTCATTTCGTTTATGACTACTATGAGCGAAGAAAGTAGGTAAAGTAGGGTAGAATCGTAAAAACAATATTATATTGTTAAGGTCTCTTCTCCGTTGCTTGATAATGTCTAAAGCTTGAGAGGCACTTCGATATTTATATTCCACGTCTGATTGTTCGCGAACTACATCTATCTATCATACAACTATGTACTTCTTCAATCATAATTGGCAACGTCGAGTTTTCTTCCAAGGTGCGAACACCTGTGGACCCTGAAAACTATCACACCCTCTTCGGTAATTATGATATTTCTTCTTAGGAAGTGTACTGTCCCCAATAGTAATATACTGATTAGCAGAGTCTTTAGACTTATGGCCTAGTTCTTAAGTCAAATTGAGTTGGCTCCAATTGTCTTCGCCATTGATAAAATGATCAGTTTTATCCACGGCTATATCTGCAAAGGTGGTTGTCATTACAACCATCGTAAGTCGTCTGACTTCGATCCTTTGTAACTCCATACTCAACTGATAGATTTTCTTTAGATGACTTTCTATTAACTCGCAGGAAGCCACTCCACTAGACTGGTAATTAATCCCTCAGTCCGCAACCCTTGGTTGCTCTCTGGGTAGTACGTTTCAGTAACCATTGTAGTATTGAGAATCACCCCCTGGCTACGACGTGTTCCAAAACCCAGTTGCAACACTCCGTAAAGTTCATTGGCTTCTTTGGTAGTGTCTTTTGGAGTTCTAGACTCTTTTGGTATATGTAAATGTATTGGTCTCTAGTAGAGATTCTTTACCATTTGATACCATCTCTTTGTGCGAAACCGTCCCGTTACTTACGGCCCATGCCAAAGGTGACATGTTTTTGAAGCCAATTAACTCTCTGCTTAGTTGACGGAATTACTCTGTTCCTTTTCCCAGGCCTAGCCGAAGGTCCCCTCTCATATATCCTGCGAACAGGATCCGGTCGAACAGACGGCAGCGACATATATGGTGTTACTATAACACCTTCAATTCTGTGGTAATATAGTCACAGGACGCAACTGAGATTGATATATATGATAACGCATGGGCCCCATATGGGAGCCGGAGAGGGGTGTTGGAGACCAGAGATTCCGATTCCAAGTGGGGTTACCCTACTTAGGGTGGTTCTTAGGTATCGGATTCTGGTATTCCTAATAGGTTTTAACAGAATTCTTAATTCTCACGATACAAAACGCCCTTAGGTTAGACTAATGACCTTCCCAAGTTCAACTTATCGTACCAGCCACATTATTCCTCAGGTGGCAGGGCAGCGCCTGCCCAGCCCCTTCATATTATATTATGTTTCTATGGTCAGAATCCTATGATATTGTTTATCGCCGTTTCCTTGGAAGTTTTGTCTTTGCAGTATTTATGGTGGTTTAGTCAGGTGTCTCCTCCATGCCTTAGTGGGGATGGATTTTGACCCTGAAAAATCGTACCCCCTGGTGTGATGCTTATTGCTACCTGGAGTAGTGTGGGATGATTGGCTGCCAGACACTCCCGTTGTCTGTACATTTAGGTGGTTCGGTTGTGGATTGTGGTTGGCAGTTTTACCTATTGCAAGTAGAGCCTACCTTCTTTTTGTCTGCTTCTGTTTGCTCACCCTCCCCCTTTATGTCGTATCTGTTGGAGGTGCCTCTTGCCCGTCGTTCAGTGTGTGCTTGTTGCTGGACCTGTGGGGCTGGCTTCGGCTGGCTCTGCCTCCTTATTCCCAACTTGGTTGGACTTTAGTTCGATTGGGTGGCATGGTGTGGCTGGTGCCGGTGCCTATGGGCATTAGTGCTGCCTCCTTTGTGGCTCCTGGCTGTGGCTGGTAGGCCCCTCTCGGCTGCAAGGTACTTGGGGTTGGGACTCTGTTAGTGTGGCCAAAACCAGTAGCTGCCTGATGGGGCCCTGTATGGGCTGTCCTGTGGCTAAAGGATGGTTGATCTGTCTGAGGGGCTGGGGGGCTGGATGGACTCTGTAGCATCTGGCGTGTAGGGCTTGGGGGGGGCCGATTGGGGGGGAAGAGGCGCCTGCAAGCATTGGTCGGGCCTGCGTCAGGTTGGACGAGGTCTAATTAAGTGTTTTTGGCCCGGCTTAGGCTGTTGAGCGAAGCTGCTAAGTGCTGCAAAGCTCCTCAATGGACCGACAGGTTGATGGCCACCTGTGCGAATAGTGGGTTGCGACTACCTGGTTGGACTTGTTTGTGTCTTGTGTGCTGGGTTTTTGTGGGATTTGTTTGGTTTCTTTGGTTTGGCTACTGGTTCGGCAGGAGGAAGCATGGCACCACAGGTGGGAGATAGGCCCCACTGACCTTTCTTGGTCTGTTACTACCTCTATGTATTTCCTATATTTGTGTTGTTTTGGTTGAGGGACAGGCAGCGGGTACAGGTCCTCTTCACCGGTATGCTCTTCAGAGGCAACTGGAAAAGTGAGTTCATAGGGTTGACAGCCTAACATGCGAGTACGAGAGGTTAACATGTCAGTTACCTCCTCTCTACCATTGTGTCGCCTGTAGGTTTAGTTTGTGTGTTTGTTTGTTGGTTTTCTACTGTGGTGAAGGTTTCGCGGGACAGTTTTCAGACCAGGTGGTAGTGATTTATGTTTGTTGGATGAGGAACCTGATCGAGTTGGTCTTTTGCTCGACTTCAGCTATGCTTAGTGCTGATTGGCTTCATACCAGAGGGGCTACAGAATTGGACTGGGGTTGGCGCTGGGTTGTTTGATGGCCTTATAATTAGTTCTCGTGTAGACATGACTCAGAGATGGTAGGTGCGGGGCTATAGACGTAGCTAGCTAATGATTGGTGGTATACCGGTTAGCGGTATCTCTGTGCTGGCAGGAGCTCATCATATGCCAGTATTGGCGGTACGAGTTTAAATAAAATTAGATTGAATTCTCAGTACTTTTCCTATTTATTACTTTAACGAATATAAAACACCTTTATGATCTTTATCTTTATTGCAACGTTTATCGTTACGCCGAGGAAAGCTCTTCATGAAGAAGAGTTAGAGAAAGCTTACGATAGGTGTTCCCGATAGAAGACAAAGGTCTTGTACTATCGGCAACATAGGCAGAGGCCTAATGCTATCATAAGACTAAGGAAAGAAATAGAAGAAGAAGAGAAGTATCATTCCCTGTTGCCAAGAACTAATTATCTGAGGAGGGATTGTTACAAAGGGTTAGAGTTGGGTAAGGCATCTGTATAAATATCGAGGTCTAGGGACCTCCGGTACAGCATGCTCTGTTGCTCCTATTTTCCTTCCACATAGTTTGGCAACACCACGTCAACTATCATGGGCCCCCCCCACTCCCCTCTGCCCCCTCGATAGTTCCTGCCTAGGGGCACGGTTAACTCTTCCATCCTCTCCCGCTTTAGCCTCGCTTGTCTCTTGTCTGCTTGATGGGGGAGTTATCTGGGCTCGTCCAGTAGTCCTATCTTGCTAATAGGGGCTTGCTTAGCTTTGGCACAGTCAGCTCCCTCTCTTTGTTTCCAGATGGCGCTGGAAGTAGTGGACGTCCTTCTCCCCACTTGCACGATCCCCATTGGGGAATGCCTCGGCTAGTAACTTCGGGGTCTGTCTCGCGGTGAGATTTGGCCAGACCATCCTAGTCGCTCAGTTCAAGTCTGCTTGCCTTTCTCACCTCGCCCATCCATCTTCTGACCGCCGGTAGGATTCCCTCCACTAAGTGACGCTTTCTCTCAGAGAACAAGGAACTACATGAGAGAAGTGGTAATACGGCGTTAGGTTGGTTGGTTGGGTCGGCACTGGGGCTTTGGCCCTTCCTCCCTTTTTCTCTTCGGTCGTGTCGGCTGGTACCCTACTACTGTCGGCTAGTACCCTACTACCTCTCCCTCTTTTGCTGCTTCGGGCAGCCCCTTCGGCCCTCCCAGACGGATGGCTTGGAGCTCTCTTTCTGCCAATACCTCCTGCTTACAGCGGGCGCTCTCTCCTTTCGGTTTCTCCTGCTTGCAACTGTGGGCTATATGCCCAAGACATACCTTTATGTCACCTATACGGCGCACCTATTCGTTTTTTCAGCTTCACGGGTGAGGCCTGGCCATTGGTTGGTCCCAAGCGAGGGGTACAGGTTTGGTTGGTATCTGGTTGTTGTAGGCGAGGGATTGGTTTTGGCCTTTGGTTTGGGGTTGCTCTGGTTTGGGTTTTCTTCTATTCGGTGGAGGGTGTACTGTCGGGATGGGGGTTTTTCCTTGCTTTGAAGGATGGGTTTCTGGGCTTTCTGTCTTTACCATTTGTAGATAGCCATGCAGGAGACTTGCGGGGGAGTTTTTTAAACCGAGGACTCGTTGGGTATCGGTGGCTCTAGGAGAGACCCCCTCTGCGCTCAAGTCGTGGGACCTTCGGGTTGGGCACCTGGCTGCTGGTGTTAGCCTTTCTGGGGTCACGGTTTTTCTTCTAGCTGCTTGAGAACAAGACGGGGTGGAGGTGCGGGTCTACATGGCCGAAGCTGATATGACCCCCGGCCTTACTTTCGTTAAAACGGATAAATAAATAAGATTATAAAAAAAAATAAAAAAAAACGACCTCCGGTACAGACTCCTCACGCAACTACTTAAGTTTTTTTCTATACTACAAGTTGAATTAATACTTTCTACATACTTGTGCAATATTACATAAGAAAGGAGGTCTCATTTACAAGAGGTAATGTGAGTACAATATTATCCTCGCTATCAGAAGTGATAGTAACGATAGGAACTCTCTGAGCTATTGAGGTATTAGGGAAACAGAAGAGGTAAGGTCGTTATCTGTTGACGAGCTAAGTACAGAGGAGTAGGATTGTTACAATACCAATTTGTTCTACAGTGACATCTGACTTCATAAGATCAAAGTGCTTCAAAGACTAATACAGTAGTAATTGAACTGCCTAAAGGTAGCTTTTTCAAACTTAATATCTTGAGACTAATGATATTACATAAGCAAGACATCTATGTTGCAAAACAGTCATTCAACTTTAAAGTATAATAGCTCAACAACCAGTTATCTATTTCATATAATTTTTGATTCTATGAATGTACAGGGGACTAAAGATATTTTAGATAGTAAAATGTGGATTTGAGAAATTTTTACTATTTTGGACATAAAACATGCTATAGAGGTCATTTGGACTTCTAAAATATTTTCTGAACTACTGTACACCTACTTTACATGACTAGCTAGGTGGTTAGGCAAAAAAAAATGTTTTGTGGTTGAGGCCCGAAAATCAGGTTTTAACTTATACACACTCATCATAGAAGGGTATAATATTGCATACAAAAAACTTACATAATCAATTTTCTGTGACATCAGAGGGTACTGTGGCATTGGAGGGATAATTCACATAAACTGTGTGGCATTTGAGACCTTTTCCGTATTATGATAGACCACGGTAGGTTACAATAAGTTACAACATTTCACCCTAGTAGGGTTTGGGACTAACTTAGCCATCTATTGGTGAGGGGTTCTTCTTGGGGGCATTGCCGGAGGTTAGACTATACTCGTATATGAGCGGCGCTGTGTCAAATATACGCTAGAGCCGGGAGGAATGTGATAGTCTATGATATTTCTCTTCGAAGTATCATACTTGTACTGGTATTCCATCTTTCCCGGTTCTTGATCCCTTCTCTCCGTCACATACCAAGTGAAGCCTGCACCTTCTCACCATGTCCAAGGAATCTGCTATTGGCGTCGACAGTACTGTGGAGTCCCGCGAGAAGAGGGGAAAAGGAAGTATCATATATCCCGGGCACGTAGATCCCGAACCACCAAATAGACTACGCTTCCTAGAAACCACAGTACCCGTACAGTACGGCAAGGACCTCACCAGTTCCCCAAGCAAAAGCAAAAGCAACAAATTTTTTGGGTTTCGTAAGCTTTTTTCTTTTTTCTTTACCTTTTCCCCTTTTTGCAGTGTAGGAAATTGTGGGGGGGCCGGTTGGTTGGTGGATGTTGTTGCACTCTCCTGTCACCAGGAATGATTTTGTTTTCTTTCGTTTCTTGCTCGAGTGGTGCGGGAGTGATGCAACGGGGGTTGGGATTCGGCGTGATGATATCTTTGTTGACTTTTATTATTATTATTATTATTATTATTATTATTATTATTATTATTATTATTACTAAGTCTTGTGCTCGAGTATTATTATTCGTCGAGCAGAAGGGGGGGAGGGATTAAGATAGATAGGAAAGCTAAAGGGATCGGTTGAAGTTTCGAGTAATCTGTGGTGTATAAACCCCCAGTGCCCTCTACCATCGCGACCACCAATCCCCACCCTCCTTCTGTCAAAGCACCGCAAATATCATATAAAATTATGGAGTCTGCTATTCAACATGCGTCGCAAAACCCCGAATTCACCCCCCCCTTCCTCCCCATCCACCCTCATCACAATCCCGAGCAAGCGCAATCCACTCCCGGGCACCGCTCTAAAAATTCACGGGGTCCGGGGAAGCGCGTGGGTATCACAAGTAACCGGATCGCTAGGATCGGGAACTGGGTCATGGCCGTGTAGTTATCTGGGGGATGATACCGGTGTCGTTCAGCCGGTTTGGGTTCTGGATGAAGGTTTTGCAGAAGATTTGTTGCTCTTCCCAACGCATAGGTGAATGAGTGGGTGGGCCGGGGCTGTGTGTGTGTGTGTGGATGGGTGAGTGGTACTGATTGGGGGTATCGCAGGTGGGCCTTATCGAGTCGTGCCCTGGCGCACTTGGGGAGGTGAGGGAATTGGTTACGCAGGTTGCGGAGGAGATGGCGAGGACTTTCGGGGCGGTTTTTGGGGAGGTGTATGGGACGGATAGGTTTTGGTTTTGGTCCTAGGGGATGATGTTGCGAAGAAGTATCAGAGTGCCTTGCAGGCACCGAGTTGAGTCGATGGGAGTGTGTCCGGGGGTCTTGCAGCAGTTATGAGGGGGATACTATATCGAATTGGAGCGAGTGGGAAAAAAAAAAAAAAAAGGAGTTTGGAGTTATGGTATTATGGTGGCTCTGTGTTTTGTGTGGTCCCTAGAAATTACACCTGAGAAAAACATCGATCCGTGAAAGCGATAAGAGATGCGCAAGAAGAACAAACGTATTAGGCAAGCAAGCAAGGAGAAAGCAGGAATACAAGATCAACTTCTCTGTCTGAGCCACTCCACCACTATCCCCAAATCACTTCCAATAGCAAGTGCCCATTCCAGACCATTAGCATCAAGGCCCAACTTCCCATCATCAGCGCTCAATTCCGTGACACGAATATCGGCATTCCTGCCCACTTCAAAGCTGCACCCAACTACACCCTGCCCGGTCTTCTGCGGGAATATAACCCCCAGGGTAAACGCACCGCTCTGCCCTTCCGTAGCACTAATGTCTACTGGAACTGGCTGAGCCGCTCCGTCAGCCGTGTCATTACCATCAGCTAAGAATGCATCCAGATCCATCTCTTTGTCCCCCAACGGTGCCGCCACCACCGAATCCTCCGTTTTCGGGATGATTCCAGCGACGGGACTAAAGCAACTTTTGAATAAGGCGCTGACATGCGCAAATTGCCTTAGTATAGAGAATACGCCGGCGAGCTCCTTTGGGTGCGAGAAGGGTATTTCGAAGATTTGCCGTGCCAAGATCGACTTTATGCTATGTAGTTTGTACTCGTGACGGATGCCTTCCTCCTCTTCCATGCCATTGGTGGGAACATAGAGCCTTCGTTGGACACCTGTTGCTGAAGGAGAGTCTGGGAACAGCTTTGCCTGTAGGGTGTCTACACTGAGACCTGGGGGTGAAGAGAGCATTAAGCCGTTGAAGAGTTGCATCTCGTCTTTGAATGGGACTACTACTGGCGGATCTAGGCGAGCGATAAAACGTGCTGGGGATGGCCGGGGGTTGGTATCGGTCATATCGAGGATTCCTTCCAGTGGCGGTTCCAGCCAGTCTGTAACCATGTCCTCACTCTCGCCGAACAAGCTGTCCTCGCTAGAAAGTTTAGCTATGTGTATAACACAAGGCATGTAGAGGTGGGTAAGTACATGGGCTTCTTGATCTCATCTGAGACCCAGTGGTCCGAAGTCCTCACAGGTGTTATAGGATTCATATTAAAGTCTGACGGGATCTCCTCAACCTCAACCAAGACCCTCCATATTTCTTCGTTGCCGTTCTTTTCGTCTTCATCTCCCCCTGGGATACGCTTCTCCCGCCAGTAATCGATGCTGAGCCCCACCTTCTCCCGAACATGCATTCTGGGTCTTCCATTCCCTTTGCACATTGCGCCAACGCTCCCCCCTTCAAGCGACTCCTTCTCATGGTTGTATATCTTCTCAAGCGATTGGTATAACCCAGTAATGGCCGTGAAACAATTCAAGCTTGGCGGGCAGCTCAATCGATCGGCTCTAGTCAGGCGCTCCAGGTTATCCGCGAAATCGGCAAGTGACGGATTTATCAATGGAGTGTGCACACCCGGAGGCGATAGGTTTGCGTGGAGGATAGATGCAGCTAGGGGAGCTAGCTCTTCCGAAGGACCAGGAGTGTTCGCGAATGAGAGAGCGACGCGCAGAATTTTGTTGTCTCTGAAATCAATCTGCTCTCGTTAGCTATTCCACTCTCCCGCCAACTGCAACAGCACGAGCATACGTCAAGAAGGAAGATCTTAGCCGCCAGTGACATTGTAACAACGCCATTCACAGTATCTTTATAGCTCTCCAAACTATAATCATTAGCTACGCCAACCCGAGCTAATGTCAGGACGATGGTACCCCATGCGCTTCACAAGTCTCTCCACCCCCTCCTCTGATATCCTCCCCGGTCGCATAGCTAGTAGCTTCAAGATATCGTTCAATTCCTTCTTTTTGCTCCCATCTCCGGGCATTGATATCTGCGGTACCCCACCTAGGGCAGCCATGTCTGGGGAGTTGAAGGCTGATGACCGGTGCCTAAAGTTTAGTAGGTGGGATGGAGATTGCCCAAGAAGTGCTGGAGAGAAAGACATTGCGCCGCCTATATTGGGTGTCAGGCCGGCCATCTTCGGGGTCGTCATTTGTGTGATATGGCGCCCCGTATTGTAGGGCCGTCGATTGAGGGTTGAGTTAGAAGTGGCGGCTCAACAATGTTCTTAGGAGGCTCAAGGTGATCCTCAGGAGTAGAGGAGTCTTGGCAATAGTAGTATTGGTATCATATGATACTAATTTAGACACTTAACTCGAGGGCATAGTACCTTAAAATTGTTTTATAGCATCTTTAAAATATCTCGGGCGATGTAACATACAATTCTAGAATTGGGGTATTGAATATGGTAAAATAGAGTTTAACTTATATGATTCATCTGGTCTTCCGGGTTTCCCGTGATCCCGTTTGGCGGGTGTGCGACCGCCCCCCCATCCAATCACTCGACTAATAACTCAACGTAGGGTAGTATAAGTTATTGAAGCTAGGCATATAATAATAACAAAACATCATAGAGATTATGTGCGGAGAATCCAATGACGGCAAAATTTTAGTTTCCTTAAAATAGTAAACCCTTTTTGTATCCAATGGTTTCTCCGGCAAAGCCATTGGTAGTGACTACGACGGACTTGGTTCCAAATATCCTAAAATATTAATGCCAAGTTGAGTTAGAGTAGAAAGTGGGTGAAGGTGGCTCAAAGGGACACTTCTTCTGTCAAGGTGGTTCCTATGAAGTGGGCTTCCAAATTGGGAAGATAATTGATGCAACATTATCTAGGTCACTAGTTATTAAATACCGGTTTAAGAGTGGTCAGGTCTAAGGGTTCTCATAATATTGTCTGGGGTTTTTGATAGCATTGAGGAACATGCATGCGGTAGATATCTAGTTCAGGCCAAGGGCCACGAGCGCGGTGCTTCATGATTTGGCTAGCTGTATCGGCGTATCGGGGGGTGTCAGGATACGATAGAGTAAGCCTATTGAATTATGAGGGGAACAATTACCAGATATTTGCCTTTTGTAAACAATTCTCCTCACTTCGATTCCTCCAATCCTACCCACCCCAGCCAGGGCCCAGGGAAGACGCTTAATGCCTTCGGCGGGAGCTTACATATAAAAACTGATATCAAAACAGGGGTTCCACACCTCCTCGAGCCCATAAATATAGACTCACGGAGTGTAAAGTAATGCAACAAAACTAGGAAGTATAGCTTTAAGTTAAGGGAATAGGTTGCAAGTCTGATCTCTCTTTAAAAATTTGTCATACCGCAAAGAGTTGGGAGAAGCAGCAACCCGGTGCATAGTTAAAGGTCCGAGTGATGAACTATGCCTTAGCAACTTAATAGATCATATTCATAAATCCATCTCAGCCGGAAAACCCGCCACTGTGTAGCTCGGTTGGGCATATCCACATGCCAGAAGCAATAAAATGAGCTCGGTTACCCTTTATCCTAGCCGAATGGTTAGTGACTACTATAGTACAGATCTGGTATCACATCTAATCGATATCCATATTGCTGCCTTCCTTCTTCTCTTCCTCCCTTTTGACAGCCTCAACAAAGATAGTGACTTGGTCACTTCCAGTCCTCTCCTCTCCAGGGGCTAGCCTAACACCTAGGCTGTCCGAGATACCTCTCAGCCCACCATCTCTCAAAGCAACAGATAAGCCAACAAGGCTCTGGCTAAATTGAGGGCTGTGCAAGACCTTACGGATAACCTCCTTTTTCTGTGCTAGGGTTGCATTGCGTGGGACAATTCCCTGCGGAAGATTCGAGATCAGATCATCAACGGCTCCAGGGGTCATAGCCGCCAGTAGCGACGTGGTGGTTGTCGGGGGAAGAAGGTCGTGAAGGGAGATCATCGGTTCCTGTTGCCGGTATCCACCGCCACTGCCGTGCGCTTCTCCGGGAAGTTGTATCTGGGAAATAAGATTTTGGAGGAAGTCGCTTTGGCTCTGAGGCTGGGAAGCAGGACTTAAGACATGCCTAGTCAGCTGAATAGACCCCACAGGTTACAGTTGTAAAAAGTGCAAGAACGATAAAGTTAAGACATTCTCAATATGAGCAATGCGCGACCCGTATATTCGGACATTAATTCACAATTCAAATTTCGTTACCATGAAGTTTTCCTCCAAAACAAACAATGCAAGCTTAAAAAAGAACAATACGAGGGAATAGAAAAGAATATGTTGCAATGTAGGGGAAACCAAGGAGCACCTACGCCCTGCCTCCGTCAGCACCACCTCTCCTGCTGGCGCTCCCCTCCTCCTCAACCTCCTCGCTACCAAGGCCAATATCCCCCATCTCCTCGTCATCATCCTGAGGGCCTTGGAGAGCAACATTGATTCGGTGAACCCATCCGTCATCTCTAGCAGACCAGTGTCCAAAGTCTGTCGACTCAGCCTTAGTCTGTAGCCAGAAGAAGTGGCGTTGGGAAGACGATGAAAACTTGAGGACCATAACACGCCCGGTCGTGCAGCCAGTATACTTGATAATTCTTGCATCCCCGGGAACAATTACAAGGTCATCCTCGGCAGATGGCTCAACGGCGCCGCGAGGCTTCCAGCAAAAATGCAAAAGGCCTGGTTTATCAAGCAACGGTTAGAAATAATATTAAGGTACACGAGAAGGATCGAGAAAACGAAATACCATCATCAGGATTGTTATAGAGATATAGCAAGCCAGGCTCAGCCTGCGAAACGATATTTGTACCCTATGTGGCAAAGCACGATAAGCTAAATGCCACCAGTAGTGGAGATGAGAAACAAACATTCTGAGCACACTTGCCGGCTTTGATAGAGATAACGGGTGCTACTGCGGCCATGTCGTATGTTATGGTATTGTAGAGTTGTCAAAAATGGAGGTGGAGTAGACAAGAGTGATGATGATGAAAGGCAGGGCAGTAGTTTAAGCGTGGTAGAAAGCCAAAGCTCCGTTGCCCTCCAAACTGAATTCTAAGCTGCGTGCTCCCAAGCCACAGTTAGTATCATATCATACGGCAACCCAAAATCCGGTAATCTAATCTTAGTTTTGCCTGATGAGATCTAATCAGATCATAACAATCAACATCGCCGTCACGTTAAGCCCTAATCCAGACCACCCACAAATCGCACACATGCCCAACCAAAAAAGTACGCACGGAATCCTCCAAAGTGAATTCTAGCCTCCCCAACAGCACCAAGCGACGACGACGAACTCCCCCCAACAATCACCCATCGATATTTCAGCAATGTCGGCAGAGAACAAGCAGGTCACGTTTGGGTCCGGGAAGAGGGAAATTCCTGCTCAGAAGGCGAGCAAGTGGTACCCTGCTGAAGATGAACCAGTCAACAAGAAGGTTGGTTCTTTCTTTGACCTTTTCGTTTCGTTTGACGTCGGGGAGTTGGAAGTGGTTACGGGGAAACGGAAGGAGATGGCAGATTAGTAGAGAAAGAAAGCGGAAGGAAATTCTGAACCTCTTCTCACCGGCCAATTGCCGATGAATTTTTGCAGGAACAGGGAGCGGGGCTCAAAACCTGAAAATCCTGATATCAAAAAAATTTCAGAGCCCAAGGATAATAACTAACATGTCCAACAGGTTCGCAAAACCCAGAAACCCACCACCCTCCGCCCCTCTCTCAAACCCGGTGCGGTGCTCATCATCCTCGCCGGCCGATTCCGTGGAAAGCGCGTCGTCTACCTGAAACCCCTCTCTGGCGGTGTCATCCTCGTTACCGGCCCCTTCAAGCTCAACGGCGTTCCCCTCCGCCGTGTAAACTCCCGCTACGTAATTGCAACCTCCACTATCGTCGACATCACAGGCGTTCAGTTGGATAAGTTTGACGAGAAGTACTTTGCCAAAGACAAGGAGGCTAAGAAATCCAAGGAGGAAAAGTTTTTTGAGGCAGGAAAGAAGCCTGAGGTAAGAAATCCCCTCCTCTGAGCTGGGGGTTAGACTATAGCTAACTCAATTGTTTCCAATATCAATAGAAGAAGCCCGTCCCCGAAGTTCGCAAAGCCGACCAAAAAGAGATCGACGCAGCTGTCACAAAGGCCATTAAGCAAACCCCCCACCTTTCGGCTTATATCAGCTCGACTTTTTCCTTGAGCAAAGGCGACAGACCACATCTCATGAAGTTTTAGATTCTCTCTTAGTTCTCCCTTTCATCCTGTTTTTTTAACTAGCTCGACCCTTTTTAAAAAAACTTTTCTTCACATATTTCAATTCTTCTACTTTGGGCCGCCGTCGCCGTTTGTGCTGGTGTATGCGGGCAGATAGGTTGGTAGGCAAAAAGGGGCAAAAGGGGAGTTATTCACTTGCATCTTGATGCCACGCAAACAAAGACGAAAGCCCGAAATTCAAACAAACAAAATCATCGAAGTGAATATCCATGATACCAAATAAACAACATAAATGGTATTGGGAACTAAGTTTCTTGACTGTCGTGATTTTCCAAGCTCGGATAGTTAACTATATGTATTGTGGTTCTTTTCATCCTTCTCTCTTCATACCGTACGGTGTGTCGCAGGTAAGATGTCGGAAAACTCAGGGCAGTCAAGAGCATATTGGAGAGGAGGACTAGGAGGGGGGAGGTGTGTTCCAAATGGAGCCAAAAAACTACAACTCATTCTCTTTTTCCTTCACCCGGGCAGGCAGGTAATAATTCATATTATACCGGTATACGGGTATGATATGATATTTGTGGTACAGCCCATCGGTTTTGTATGTTTCGCAAGCAGGGGTTATCGCACTGGCAGGGGTAAGGGTAGTGAATTGGGTACTCGAGTATGGTGGCTCTCGAGTAGTCTTGGGATATTATCGTATTATCCCCACATGCATAATAGTATGGTGATATCCTCCGTTCTAAAAGCGACATATTCGTGCCTAAGTATAGATGTGGTGATTAGATACCTGAGGGGTTTTGCGGAGTAATGCCTCTCACCAAGTAAATCCGTGAGAAGGATTAGCATTTCCAGCATAGTATAAGGTTGTGATGTAGGGCGGAGTTTGTAGGAGGACCGCTCAAGCACTTCATGCCGGATATATTGTATCAAGCCGCAATTTGTTTGAACACACTTTGTTCCTCATTCCTCACCTACCGTGTGATTTTTCTCCTGACCGTGATCATTTCGCCATCACCCTCCAGGAGGAAGTACCTATTTTCGGACTTAGTGATGGACACGAGCATGCTCGAACAGATTACCGGGGTTACGCTCGAGCATGATCTGACCGAGCATAGCCGATTATGCCCCAGTATTGGTCAATTATAATCGGGTTTTCCTCCACTAGAGTTGCTTCTGTGTGTCAAAAATAATGGAAGATTTGCTTGTAAGCAGCTTTATTCAATTCGATTTCCAACTATCATACCTGCACCTTAGATAACAAAGTCACTTTAACCAAACACTATTGCTCCAAGACCTGTGAGCTGGAGTCATTGGTGCTATTCCGTTCGCTCTGAGTGCCCACCAAGCACACCATCATAATCATGATCTATCACTCGGTCCCGCTCTTATTTGACCACTTCGGTAGATCTTGGTAGTCCGGCGCCGTACATAATTATAGTCTGCTCTGGAATCAATGAGGTGAAATTAAGTCTTTTACGAAAGCTAATTTGCTCTTGCATGCTCAAACCCTCTTAGGGAAATCCTATTTGTCACTCTAGACATATATATGGATAGAGCGATTAAGCATGATCATGCGTACATGAGCTCAGTGCCTTACAAGTGATACAGTCCTCTAAAAAGAGACGCTGGGTTGTCCGGATAATTCAAAAGGGTCGCTGTCTTATTCCAAGGGCCCAACGTTACACATTTTGTGCTTAATGGGGGTAGACACCTACCAGAGGCGGGCAAGGAAGAAAGGGAAGTTTGCTTGCAAAAACGCTCAATGAGCAAAAGCATTTGTTGAGCAAACACTATAGTGGGTGGGCCAACACCTATGGGAGAAAACCCCAATGCTGGATCTCAATATCTCGAGTAGGGTCTTGCCGGTATACGGTCCTGGCACTTTTCTCTCTCACTTTAGGGCAAAGTTGATTATAGTAAATTTTATGTTCACCAAGTACGTGCTAATTCCAAAAGTGGATATCATAGTATGGGCATACGCAGCACTTATATAGCCTACCCAGCACCCGATCATGCTCACCAATTTTTTTTATTTCTGTCAAGTGGTATATCACTCCTGGGGGAGATTTTTTTGTATAAGGTAGAGGTTTTTTCAATGCTTGTATAGTATCTAAACAAATTACTGAAATGGACACTTTGAGCCACGCCTTCACTTTCATGAACAGATTCTTCCAAACCTTGTAACCAACTATAGGAATTCTAATTCTTGGACGATATATTGTTTCACAAATGCAGTTACCGTGCTGCGGTAAAATGTGTTATTTTTAAGAGAAAAAAACAATGATAATTCATATGAAGCGTAGGAAAAAAACAAAACAAAGAGAAAGCAGACACGAGCCCACGATATGGGTAACTACAGTAGACCGTTATCCACGGAGAGGATGGGAATGCTTCTCATGCGTTCCGTGAAATCTTGGATGCCGTGACAAGGGTTTTCGATTGACACCCATCGCCTTTTTCCATCACAGAAGACCGCTGTGGGTATAGCACTGCATAAGAAAGGTAAACATTTAAAAGAATCAACTATCCAGAAGAATGCTAGCCCCGGCTCAACTTTGCCTAATGCATCTTATCATCTTCCCTTCCGACACTCCACCGGTGCTTGCCACTGAGGGCCTCCGCGTCATTAACTTTTCCAACATGGGAAAGGCAGCTCCCTTCCCCCTAATCTCCCCAAGCTAGCCATCAACCCCCCCCCCACTCCACCTTCCCTACCTCCCATTTGTTATAGCACTAATCTTACGTATCCGGATAGGGTTTCGTGGGACCTTGCATAGACTGTTCAGGAGTCTGCTTTGTGAGTGGATGTTCATTTGGAGAGAAGGTGCACAAGCACGCTCCTTCCCTCGTCTGGTTACCACGGTATCAATTTGTGCTGTGTTGGGCAATGAATTTGCTCGGCGGGGTTTCAAGGTTGACACTTGACATTCTGGTTCAGTTCTGTGCGGGTTGGTTTTGTGCTCTGGCAGGCGGGCAGGCTGGTGGCATGGCACTTGCCCTAGTGGGCAAGGGGAGATTGCCGTATCCTATAGTTCTGCCATGTTCTCTAGAATTATCAACTATCTCTTCCTGAGCACCGTCTTCACTGCCCGCCCCTGTTATCTCATATTACCACTGTATAGGCTCTAGTTCAAGTTCTATCCCTGGCCAACGGGAGGATCGCGTAAACGCGATGAACGTGAGAAGTTGTGTTCCAGCTACCGATAATGAGTTTTGCAGAAAATGAGCAATTTCGGTTAAGGTTCACTCAAGGTGTGTTATTGTATGATATGTGTGATACTTGAGTGCCGTATGATACATGAGTTCGCTGGGCCCAACTAGCAAGTCATGTCAGCAGAAGAGATAGTCATAGAGTATCACTCGCGCGTGGATCCGCATGATCTCTTCCTTTCCTCTATCATCTTTCGCAGGAAAGGCGGGTTTAGTAATCTCTAGAACGCCGTGGGAGGTGCTACTTCTCTGGGTGGAATGTCCTTGAGGAAAATATATCGCGTGATCAGCGATATGGCGGGTGCAGTGCAGAAGGAGAAACTCACTATATCCTATAGATGATAGAGAACGAAGCAGAATAGACAAAAGCCATCAACCAAGCGGGCGAGCCAAGAGCCACGTGCTAGGAGATTGTATCATACAGCACTATACGAGCCAGAATGGGTACATTTGCAGAAGCACCTCCCGGAATTATCGCTAGCAGACTTTGTTTTTGTTTTTTTTGTTTTGTTTTTTTCGAAGGAGGAATCCTAATTTTTCCTACCTAGGTGGCGAGTGATTGGAGCTATCCCATCAGGTAAAGCCTTTAGTTTACTGGCATTTGAGAATTTGAGGAGGTAGCATCTAAACATGGTAACCCACCGTTTCCAATCCTACTAGGATCGTCGGCCACGTTCCCTGGCAAGCACGTCCGAGTAAATAGCTGGGATCAAGAGGTGGGTGAACGGGTTAATAGGATGGCGCACTTCAGGATGTATATTTGGGATGTATAATTAAAAATGAATTTCTTTCACATTCGCACTTCACTCAGAGGAGTGCACCTCCTACACCGCATTCTCGCTTTAAGTGCGGCGGAAGGAACTGTCGGGCCCCCCAAGAAATCCTATAGCCCAAATATGCGGAATGTCATTTCTGCTTATTTTTCTTAACTAAGTAACCCTAACCTTGCCAAACGCACGCAAACGCCATAAGATATCGGTACTTGAGTGCTCAAGTATAATACTACCATATTCCTCATGTTTGACTCACACCTAGTCCTGCATATCAAACACCACTCGCGAGAAAATCTCCGACATCCCCTGAAAAACCAGTACCCCTATCATATGGCAACACCTTAGCCATGCATACCCTTGGTCATACGCCTTCACCCTTTGCGCGAGGCTGGAGCATGGAAATTGAAGAGACTGGAGATATCGGCAATGACTCGGCACGTATGGACTTAATAAGATGGAGTGTGGTGAGGGATTCTCTTCTCATCTCTCTATCCCATCATCTGTACTTGATCGATTAATCTTTTATTTTTTGTTTCCTATTTATGACGAAATCCCTCGCCCAACAGAATATTCGTATACACGCTTTATGCTGCACGATTTTGTTGTCATACTCCCCGACCGATTGTGCAAACCGCTGTCCGTAAAACTTGCTGAAAAGGTAGAGTACCCCCTTGAATAACCAATTATGAGGCCCAGAGCCAATCGTGAAGCCATCATTGGAATGCCCGCTGCGGACCCGAGAACCCTTCCACACCATTTTCAGGATAAACACGATTCCACCCCCATCTGGGTTTCTTGTTCCCTGTTGCGCCCTCTATTGACTGATTTGATTGGCGAATTATCGATTGGATGGGGGAAGAATTGGCTGAATCTTTCTCATTCCTGGCTGCGAATGCGAGATATGGGAGTGGCATGGGGATGAGTGAGCGGGGAGTTGTGTTTTCCTCCACACGGTTGGTTCTCGCTCCTGTTTGCTTTTCTATACTCGGGGATGTCTACCCATCCGTGGTTCTGTTCCTCGTCAACATTCGTTGTATGATTAGTACTTTTTTTCTCCTCTCTTACCCTCAAATTTTGTTTTGTTGCTGGTGGGTTGCTCTGCTGATGCCCC